AGTACATGTTGTTGTTCATATTATTGCTAATATTCCAAAATATAAAATGTCATATTACACTACATATATATATACTTATATTCTTATGCCTGCGATTATTACTGCATTTAGTATCATCATTCTTTAAAAACCTTACGACATCCTTTAGACGAACCCAAAAGCCATGGTTCATGGAGGGAACGCCCCGACACCAGGCGATTTTGGGAGACCGTCCCAAGGCGTGCACGGAGGCCTGGGTTCAGGGCTTATGGCTTTCTTAGTGTTTGAGGTTTAGTGTTTGGAGGTGAGGGGTTAAAGGCGTGGGGGGTCTGCCCTTTTCGGCTAAGGGGTGTAGAATCGGTCTTAGGGAACCTCTTACACTTCGAAGCCCTACGTAAAAGTCGGCCGATGGATATCTAAGTTTCATGAAGGTTACCCTCGGTAGGTAAAGTAAGCAAGGTACACTACAGTCTCGCAGTCGCAAATGCTGGTAGACCCACACTACGAAGCATCGGCAGGTAATCTGCAGAAATGCTGCGAGTTTGGGGCAAACTAGGGATGATATGGAGAAGCACCGCCCCGACATCCTGACCCTAAGCCCCAAAACCTGATAAAGCCTAGCTTGGGTCCATTATGTGGGTGCTTGGAGCATCGGGCAACCCTATACCAGACCTTATGAAACCTCCCGTAACAGCATCAACACTCGAAAAAGATAACCTGACAAGATCCTATGAGGTTTGTGGACCATCTGGAGGTTTATTTAACACTTTAGCTCGACTTCCCAAAGTCCCCACAAGCGCAACCAAAGCTGCGATGACGCACCTGTCGCCGCTCCTCCTGCGACCATGTGGCAGGAACTATTTGGGGGGTTGTCTAAACCAGCATCTCTATTGAGTCCCCGAAGCATGGGTGCCATATTAAGAGTAGAAATATACCGGGTTCCCCAAATGCACCAGGATTAGCTTCGACCTGACTTTATGAGAGTTTGGGGCGTTGGGGCTGTTTTGGATTTAAGGAAGCTTTTGCCAGGAGGCGTAGAAAGCCCCAACCTTAAAGCCCAAACGCCAAACCCTAAACCCCAAATCTCAAACCCACAAACCCTAAATCGCACAACTCCAAACCCAAAACAAAGATAAAGAAAACACCCCCCCCCCCGCCAAACACAAAAATAAATGAAAAATCAACACCCTCCCAACAGAAGCTACTCCTCGGTGAGTTCCTCCAGATCCGACTTCAAAATGGCCGAAGAATTGCCTTAGGCTTGTGGGACCATTTTCGGGGACATATTCTGGGTCTTCAGGCTTCGGGTGTAAGATCCAGGTTTCAGGGATTTAGGGTTTAGGGTATAATGTAGGGATTAGGGTTCCTTTAAAGGGGTCTGTCATAAGGGTTACAATAAGGGATCTATACGGGTACTATAATGTAGGCACCTGATTAAGACACCTTGGTCCTTTATTAGGGTTCCTTATATGAAGCCTACTATTTGGGGTTATAGGCCCAGGGTTTCTTAATCAGGTTCCTACATGAGGATCCAGGTTTCAGGAAGAAGAGTTGCATAGAGCTTTTTCAATCTAGGGTTGCATTCGGGTGTTAGGTTCCAAGCTGGGGCTTAGGGTTTGGAGTTCTGGTTTAGAGCTTGAAGGCATTTGCTGCCTTGCATTGCAAAGTGAACATCTGCATCCCTGCGGCGCTGCGCATAATTGACGAGCAATCAAGGACGCATAAACCGGCTATAAAAAACATGTAAATATGAATTCTTCTCGTTTGTAAACCCAAAACCATATGACACACGTAGTAGTTGGGTACACAGCTTCAGGATAGTAGAATGTTTGTAATTATTAGTTACTGGGACATTTAGGGGCATGGCTCGGGGCGTTCGGGTTTAGAGCTCCGGGGGCACGGGTTTAGCATGTTGACATTGAGGGTGAACGGTATATGAGGCTTGTAGGTGCAGGGTTCACCGCTTGGCGGTTGAGCGTGCATGATTTACCCTATACAGGGTTCGGATTGCTTTTGGCTACACGCTGCATGATGAATTAAGCATGATTAAGCCGTTAGAAGGACCCTAGACCCCAGACCCTAACCCCTGAACCCCTAAATCCCTAAAACCCTACACCCTAAACTTGGCCCTAAACCCATGCTACAGCAGCCCAGACCCTGCCATCAAACTCCCTGCTACCACTTCGAGCTGTTTTAAAGACTTAAAACCCGAAAACCTAAACCCTGAACCCTGTACACCACGCCGGCCCGCCGTGGCTTATGTTGTCCGGCTCTTCCACATCGACATCCACCTGGCAAAGTGACATGTCTGCTCAAGGATTTAGGGCCTTCGTGGGTCTAGGGTTTTGCGGTTTAGGGTTTTGCGGCTTAGGGTTTAGGGTTTAGGGTTTTGCGGTTTAGGGGTCTAGGACTCAGCAAACAAGAAGCCTTAAACCCACCCGAACACCAAAGGTTCAAGTACTCCTTTTCGGAGGTTAAGGTCCGTTCCAGGTGTCAAACAGGCCGCAAAAGGAAGCAGCACTAGAAATGTTGTGGTAGGGCTTGGGATGGTCTTTAGGGTTTAGGATTTGTCAAGCTTACGGTTTGGGGCCAAATCTTGCCTGGAGGATGGGGTCTTATAAATCAGGGCTCAAAAGCGGAATCATCTCGGGCACTCGCAGCTACGCCACAGCAAAGGTGCCTCACTGAGGAGAATCGGGTTCTCAGGTCTACAATCCTGATACGTTGATAGGGGCTTCGGTAGTAAACCCGAAACCGTACACTCCAAACCCGAAAACCTAAACCCGAAGCCCCCAAAACCAAAACCCTAAAGCTCGAAACCCCAAAGCTTAGAAGAGTTCATCATAGGGGCCTTAATAACTAGAATAGGGCTTTGGGGCCCATACTATAGTTGAGGCCCCTATACTATACCCTCATCGTAACCCTTATAGACCCCTTTAAAGGAACCCTAAACCCTAAACCCTTTAGTATCTGTAGTATCCTTTTAGAGGAACCCCTATCGTGGCCCTAATAGAAATCCTTTATAAGCCCCTTTTGGAACATTGAAGACATATTTAGGTAAATAGGTACCTAAACCCTATAAAGCCCTGAAAGGAACCCTTATACGTAGTATCCTTTAAAGGAACCCCTATAGTATCCTTTTAAAGGAAGCCTTAAAGGAACCCTAAATCCCTAAACCTAGGAAGTAGGCGCTAAACTCGTATAGATCCCTTATAGAACCCTTTAAGGATGGAACCCGAAACCCCTATATTAGTGGTTTAGGGTTTAGGGGTTTAGGGTTTAGGGTTTAGGGTTTAGGGTTTAGGGGTAAGGGTTTAGGGTTTAGGGTTTAGGGTTTAGGTTCCGGAAACTTCGGCGTTGCCAAGGCACCAGCGACTCGGGAAAGGTAGGCGTCCGATCCTGAGACGAGATACTTCAGGGATGGCCCTTAAACGAGACCTTATAGATCTCTTTACAGGAACTCTCGAGATCAGGGATCTTTGCGGTCTAGTGTTCTTAAACACTTCAAGGATCTTTGGCAGGGATCTACAGATTCCTTATACCCTAAGGCTCCATGTAACCATATAGTAGGTACGTAGGCCTTAAAGGGGTCCCTATATGGTTACTTTAAGGCCTAAGTACCTACTATATGGGTACATGGAGCCTTTGGGATCAAGGGGTTCCGATTAAAGGTTCCCACAGGGGTTCCTTGAAGGGCTGCATGGCTCTAGAAGGGGGTTCGGGGTGTTGGCGTAGACAATATCCCCCAAAAGCTCCCAAAGTATGGAGTCCTTCAAGGATCTTCAGGGTATATTATAGTATATTCTAGTACAATATATAGTATATGCAATAGTATATGTTAGTACAGCATAGTATATTGTAGTATCTTATAGTACATTATGGTATATTATAGTATCTTATAGTACAATATAGTATCTTATAGTGTAGGCTATGGTCCTCAAAAGCCGTTGGGTTCAGGGTGTTGGGGGCTTCGGAGGGATGTTACCACGGCCTTCTAGACCCAAGAGTAACCTACTAATAAAAAGGGTGCCCCTTGTTGGTTTAGAGGGGCCTATAAGGGAACCCTAAACCCTAAACCCTAAACCCTAAAAAAAGGGCTCTAGATCCTAGTCTTATTGGGGTTTGAGGGCCTCAGGCGCCTGGCCCTTGGGGTTTCTGAAGCTCAACTACTACGGCTGATGATATAAATCCTGCGATACCTTAAGGACCCTGAACTATGGGAATGATGGTCTATTCCTTATTATGGGCAATGCCGGATTTATATCATCAACCGTAGGAGGATCATAGGACTGAGTAAGTAAGTTTATTACAAGTACCGGAATTGGTGTTATAAGATAAAGCCATAGTTATTTCATTCATAAGCCTGGTTCCTAAGTCCCATGACCCTTTGGGGTTTTAGGCTTAGGGGTCTAGGGGTTTAGGGTTGAGGGCAAGGGGTTTAGGGGTTAGGGTTTAGGGGTGTAGGGGCTTCGGGGTTAAGTTTAAAGGTTGAGGGTGTCGGGTTTCGGGCCGGGCTGTGTAGAACTTCGGGATCAGGGTTTGGCGCCTTGAGGCCTTAGGTTCAAGGTCAGGGTCTTTGATGCACACGCTTTGATATGGGAAGCTCTCTAAATTATGGTCCCTTTTAAAGTGGTGCCGTCTTGTTCTGGGGACCGAAAAAAGGGGCCCCAGTTTAGAGGGCTACCCAAAGGCAGGTAAAGCTTCCACTGCTTATTGCTAGTCTCCACAGAATAAAACCTGGAACATACACTGGTCGATGTTCGAAGTGCCCAGTCTATGGAGATCGTCGGCTATCGTCGAAGTTGTCTTGAGGATTCGGGTTTAGGTGTCGACTAGATACTGCAATTAAGCTTTCACTTTTTGCTGAAGACAGTGCATACCTAAACCCCCAAAACTAAGTGAAATAATGGCCCAAGTCCTATAATGGGCTATTTCATTTTTTCATTCGCAGCGATGGAGTCTGAGGTAGACGCACGCCTAGCAAAGAAACGAATTCGTGAAACAGGAGTGAAAGAAAAACCCTACAGCGACGGCGAACGCAGTCCAGCATCCGAGCATGAAAAGCCCAAGTCGAGGCACCAGGCATGCGCAGAGGGTATGCAGGCCCAAATACCCGGGCAGTGCAAAATGACGGGCTGGTGTGGTGCGCGGTCGACGCATGCCGCGATGGCTCGACAAGCTTCTTCAGCCCAGGAGGCGATCGCAAGGCCAACACGTAGTGGTAGGCTAGTGGGAGCGTCGAGCTGTAGGGTATGTGGTGGAGGCGGCAGAAGTTCCCAGCGGCACACGTCTCCTGAGGCGGCGTGGCACAGCGAGCCTATTCGGCTCCAGTGCGGTATGGACGCTTGAGACGGGCGAGAACTAACGCCTTCGGAAGGAAAGATGTCAGCAGAGACATCCGGGTCTAAGAGGATGCACATATTCTCGGCTGTTTCATTGTGCCAAGGGCTGTCGGCATGACGCATCCTCCAGGCCTCAACGGTGGTGCGAAGCACTGCAAGAGGTTCAATGTGCTCAACAATAGTCTCCCAGACCTCGGAGTCTTCAACCTCTCCAAGCTCTGTAAGCGCATGCAAGAGCGTAGAGGACACAGAGTCAGAAGCCGGGGTGGCAGGCGGAGCACTAAAGGAGCCTTTAGCAGGGCAAGGCGGGGCGAGGGGGTGTATGGTCTCCTGCGCATTCCTCTCATCGGCCGGGAATGGGCTATTATTCTACATACTTTTGGGGTCCAGGTGTACCTTAAATCATAATAGGATCCCTGACATGATTTAAGGCATTTTCCTTAATTAGGTAGGGGTTTCCTTGCTTCCTCTGCCGGCCAGGTGTCTCGAATGGCGATCTCCTCACCTGGGAGCCGGGCGCGGCTGAACTTCCCAATTCAATTCTCGAAGTTTGAAAGGGCCTATAGGGTTTAGGGTTTAGGGTTTACGGTTTAGGGTATACCCATAGGCTCCATAGTAGTTCCTTTTTGGGATTACCTTATAGGATTCTATTTGCGATCCCCAGAAAGGAACTACCATGGAGCGACTCTAGGTAAGGTTTAGGGCTTAGAATCTTAGTCTTGGCTACTATTTGCTTAAGAACCCCCCAAAAAATAAAAAAAAAATATGTATATATATATATATATATATTCCTTATAGGGATAATGTAGGGATTATTTTGGGGGGGGGGGTTCTTAAGCAAATAGTAGTTGGGGTTTTGGAGGCGAGCGAGGGACTAAAGGCTTCCGGGGAATAAACGGGAACAAAATGTAGGGCGTCCTTTTCGGATGACATGGTTTACGGTTTAAGGTTTAGGGTTTAGGGTTTAGGGTTTAAGGTTTAGGGTTTAGGGTTTAGGGTTTAGGGTTTAGGGTTTAGGGTTTAGGGTTTAGGGTTTAGGGTTTCGATCCTGTGCAATCAGAAACTAGCGTAACCAAGAAAGGGAACTACGTTTACGGGTCTAGGTAGTCTGTAAGATGCGGGGCTTCAGGATTCGAAGCTCTGGGCTGTGGCCTTCGGAGTCCTGCGGCGAAACTTTCGAGAATTTCTGCATGTGTGCTAAATGTCGGGACCTTAGTGCTTCTACTTTTCTTCCCTTATATAAGGGGTTAGATCAGGGGTTGTTATAGGCTACTACTAATCTAGGTTGGCTATTGTAAGCCTTTCAAACAGGTTCGCAGTAAGGGTTCCGGGGGTGATGCTTGGGGCTTAGGGTTGTAGGGTTTACGGTTTAGTGGTTTGGGTTGAGCACTTCAGGATCAGGGTTTAGGGCTTTAGGGTTTGGAGTTGAGGGTTCGAGTTATCCTGCTCAATGGTATCGCAGTGCGGTGGGGCAGACCAGGTGGAACTCGGAAGGCTTTTCGTTTTGTTTCGTTTCTGAACGACTCTGCAGGGCAGCCGGCCACACATCTTGTAAAAGAATCCGTATTCTTACAATGATGCCAGTGTAGTAATCACAGATCGCACGAATCGTACTATTCATTCGCGACATCCGCGCCTCAGAACCCAAAGGGTCCAAGTACCATCATTAGTAGGTACTTAGTACCCTACAGTATACACTATGTTGTTACTTAGACCGTTTGGGAAAATACAGACAAGAAACATTGCTCAAAACCGACAATGGGAAGTTTGTCTCGCCAAGAAGACGCCGCTGTAGGATTACACCCAAGCGCCTCTCTAGTCAAAGTCTCAAACAGCTAGGCTAGATACCCCAAAGAAAGGGTGCCGCCCCACATAGCACTTGCTGAGTTCGAGAGCGCCAGACAAACTCACTTAGAGGATCATGGGGCTTAGTAAGTAGGTTATAATTGGGGTTATAAGTCCCCTAAGTGGGGTTATCCTAATTATAACCTACTTATAACCTTACTTACTAAGTCCCATGAGCCTTCAAGCACAGTAGTAATGGTAGGACATGGTGGGGTTAGCTGAACCGCAAATGTCATCGTCTCAGTTCCTTAGTAAATCGAAACACTGATAACAACCCTGTAGAGTGCCTGCCCGAGCCTTGAGAAATATCGAGCAAGGAACAAGATAAATGTTAGCACGGACCACTGCTTGATAAACACCCTCACAGTTGATAGGAATTATCGTAAGGATCCAAATATCAGGGCCTTTAAAAGAAAGGCATCTATTTGGCAGGGGTCTACATTGCTATAATACACCACGATATACGAGAACATATATCACGATATACCAGAGTATACCACAATCTGCCATAATCAACTCTTTAACTATTCTACAACTAGGATACCCAGTAACCTAAGAATAAAAAGGCCTCTCTTTTTGGTATTGGGTAACTTTATAAGGAACCTAGGACTACAAAAAGGAATAAGGGTACTACTGGGCATCCTAGACAAGATGGCACTTTGACACACTACATTACCCCTTCAGCTACTACAGTTGGTCATATAAATCCTGCATTACCCTAAGGACCCTGAACTATGGGAACTATGGTATATTCCTTATTCTGACTATTGCAGGATTTGTATCCCTAAACCCTAAACCCTATACTTCCAATAGATCCCTTAAAGGTACCCTTATAGATCCCTTTAAACCAACCGTAGGAATGCGCATCCGGTCGCAGAAGCGTACCGTGCTCGACGAAGTAGCGGCCTGGAGGGGCACGTCACCTTACCTTTGGTTACTTGGAGGATCAAGAGACTTAGTAAGTAAGGTTATACGTACCCTAATTGGGGTTAGAAGTAGTTATAAGTATAGTTACCTTATTTATAACCCTAGTTACTAAGTCCCATGATCCCTTAAGTAGTAGGGAATAATCCTATATCTTACCTTTGGTTAGTAGGGAATGGAAGAATGGTAGTAGTAGTAGCTAAAATTGTACCCCATTTCTCCATTCCCTAACCAAAGGTAAGTCACAGGTTTGAGAGTCGAGGCTTTACCCACAGGGTCCTATGTACTGTTATGGGGGATACTTCCCCAAATCATAATCGTCTAGACCTAAGAGTAACCTAGGAATAAAAAGGGTGCCCTTTTCAGTTTAATGGGGGTTGATAAGGGGATCTAAACCCTAAAAAGGGAAGAAGGGCCTACTCTGCGTCCTAGTAGTACTTCCTAATATAGGAACCCTACATTCTACTATCAAGGTACTTTGGACCCTTTGGGTTAGGATCGAAACTGGAGTTTAGGGGCTTAGGGTTGAGACGTTTTGGGTTTTACCCTAAGGCTCCAGAGTAGTTCCTTTTTGGTGTTCATACTTAGAATCCTATAAGGTAATCCCGAAACGGAACTACTATGGCGCCCACGGGTAGGATCGAGACTGGAGCGAGGGTTTAGTGGCTCAGGGTTCAGGGGCTTAGGGTTTGGGGTCTCTTGGGTTTAGAAGTTTAGGGCTTGCGGATTGGGATTCAGGTCAAAACAAGTTTCGGTTGCGCGAAGGTTTCGGGTTGACCGACATGCGTTTTCACCAGCTGTTCTGGACGAAACCTCTCAAACTAGTGGTTCTTCAGCCGAGCTTACGGTGAATCTTAAGCTGCGAACCCTAAAACTCCTAAACTCCGAACAGTTATGGTGAAACTCAAGCTGTGAACCCTAAAGCCCCTAAACCCCGAACAGGGCCTCGTCGGAAGGCCCGGAATTTGTGGCGGCCACGCGAAGGAGAGTGGTCGGCAAAGGCCCTGACATCTGAAGGTTCAAGACCTAAACCCCCGGGGAGGATTCAAAAAGTAGATCCTTTAATGGGGGTTCCTGTACAGTACCCTTAGTAGTATATGGCAAAAGCCAGAAAGTTGGAACATGATTATCCTAAACCCTTTATGGTAAATTATAAGGTATCCTACCCTGAAACCATATTCCATCTTTCTGGAGTTCCCTTTAGGGTCCCAAATTAGGGGATCTACTCTCCCTTATGGATCCCTAAACCCTAAACCCTAAAGGATCCCGTAAAGGAGCCCTTTAAGGAACCCTACTAAGTGTCCCAAATTAGGGGATCTACTTTCTAGATCCTCCCGGGGGACTGGGGAGCGGACGGGTCGTAGGGAATGGGTTAGGGGTACGGGCTCCTTCTACTTGGAGGGTCGGGGGACTTAGTAAGTAAGGTTATAAGTACCCTAATTGGGGTTAGAAGTAGTTATAAGTATAGTTACCTTATTTATAACCCTAGTTACTAAGTCCCATGATCCTTTAAGTAGGGCTCCTTCAAGAGGTCCATAAGGGGACCATACGGCTCCTTTAAGGGTGTTCCTCAAAAAGGGGGCCGCTAGAGTTTAAGGTTTGTGAGGGTACTACCCAGCAACTAGGTAATCCCTAAATCCCCATAGATCCCGTATAGAACCTTTTAAGGAACCCTTTTATAGAACCCTTCAAGGGGCCCTTGCAGTACCCTTAAAGGGAGCCTTCTAGTACCCATAAAGGAAACCTTATACAAGGAGCCCTTTAAGGAGCCCTTAAAGGAGCCACTTTCAGGAACCCTGAAAGGAACCCTTTTCAACAGAAAAGAACCCTTTCGGAAACCCTTTAGGAAACCCTTAAGGGACCCTTTAAGCAATCCTTTAAGGCGCCAGCCCTTGAAAGAACCCTTGAATCCAAGAAACCCTTTCAAAAATGAAGAAGCCCTTCCAGGAGCCCTTAAGGGACCCTTTAAGAAACCCCTAAAGCAACCCTTTAAGGAACCCTTTGCTATATATGGAACCCCTTAAGAAGCCCTTGAAGGAAACCTTAAAGGAACCCTTTAATGTAAGGGGCCCTTTCAGGAGCCCTTTGATGTAAGGAACCCAGAAGCTTCCTCTGTCGGCCTCCTGTGACCGAACCGGGCGACGCTGAGCCGATTTTCTGCAGCCCGCGCGAGAGGTTGCTCAACCTGCTGACTTTGGGCTTTAGGGCTTATAGGGCTTATAGGGTTTAAGGGCTTAGGGGTTTAGGGTGTAGGGGTTTAGGGTTAGGGTGGCTCATCCTGCTGACTTTTTGGTGGCGTTTAGGGATCCTTTGAAGGATTCTATAAGGGATATTAAGTGGGGTGTTGGGTTTAATTAAGATTGAGGGTTATGCGTTAGGGCTTTAAGGTTTTGGGTGTAGGGCTGAGGGGTGTAGGGTTTAGCGTTTAGGGAAGTATCTAACGTAAGCGTAGCTTAGAGACTCCAAAACCCGCTTCTTAAGTCAGGAAGACAGCTTGAAGTATAGCGGGATCCTTGAAAGGTATACACCCTTATAAATCCCTTAAGCTCTGTGTAACAATTTCTTGGGAGCCCCCCACACCATGACGAAGGAGCAAGATTTCAATCCGGGTTGGAAGTTTAGGGTTTAGGGTTCAGGCTTAGGGATTATGGATGGGCTTGAGGGTTCAGGGCTAGGGAATAGGGATGGGTTTAGGATTTAGGGTTTAAGGATAGGGTTTAAGGATTAGGGATAGAGTTGAGGGCAGTTGAGGGTTTAGGGTCTAGGGTGAAAGTTTCATGGGCCAAAATACATGCGATTGGAGTGCTTGAGACCTTCCAGGAACACAGCCTCGTTGCGAAACGATTTAGGCCATGTAGCGCTAGCAGGGATTAGAGTATATCGGGTTCCAAGGTTCACTTAAGGGTCCAATCCATGACAGGTGCAGGGAAAAAAACACTTGAGAAACGCCCTGTACCTAACATCCCATTAGTAAGGGCCGTAAGCGACAATCACAAATCGATACCTGGTAAACTGTGGAACTGTTGTGCACTTGGGAGTCTCAGGGCGAGTATTTGCACGGATCCCGACCGAGCCTGTCGGGCGAGTCGCAGGAAGCTTTGATAATGTCCGGGTATGCTGAGACCAAGTGCTCCTTGGGGTTCAGTTGAGATGCTTCAGGAAGCAATCGGGCTTCATGGGAAGGGCTGTGTTGCGTTAGTTAGAGTCTACTGGTGAAGTTAGTTTGGATTTCCCACTGACAGAGTGCTTACCCTACAGTGAACCCAAGCGCACGTCGGGTTATACGTCTGGAACCACGCCGTAAACGGATAACCGACCGAGACAATGGTGCGTGGTGTAGAACAACTCACCACAAGTAGACAACCTCGTCATCGCATGCCGAAAGGGGCAGTTCTAGATGGACTAGTGACCTGTTGAGATCTTCTGATGACACGGTCGGCTCATGTTGAGAGTTGGGTAAGAATAATGACTGTGAATCCAGCGCACAATGTGGCAACGGGGACTGTGCTACGAAACAACTGTGCTTGCACGCAGGGCCATCTAGCAACCAATAGTTGCCGTATTTTCGAAAGAGCCTCTGTAATCTGCGTCTCCCCAACTGGTCTGGTAAGGAGAAGATTTCAAATTTGGAAACCTACGGCCCCATCATGCTTGCGTACTGGGACGCTCTACCCCGAGCCTGAAACCCTAAACGTATGCTTTTGACTCCTGGTTCCCAAAGAGGACCTATCGTCGTCCGACGCAGACAAGGACCCTGAACAGCAGTGACGGCAAGACTCCCGCAAAGTCTGCAGCGATGCATCCAGAAAGTTTTCGAAGGCAAGCTGATCCATTGCTTGCGGTTTTCGGGTGTAATATGCTGTAATTTTTCTGAAATAGTATAGGGCCCCCACCCCCCAAAAAAAACAAAAGAATACATATAGAGGTAATTATTAAGGCCCCTATAGTAGCTTGGGGGTAGATCTCAGCTGTGGGAAACAAGACTTCAGGCTCAGCGGCTTCAACAAGTCGGAGTCAGACCGAAACCCAAAATCCTAAGCACTTCAAGCACTTAACCCATATGGGTGGTTGTCAAAATTGTGGTACCCTTTTTGGATACCCTAAATAATAGGTGCCGTATTATACCAGGTACCCAAAAAGGGATCATAGTTTTGACAACCACCCATATGCAATACCCTAAACCCTATAATCTCAGACCAAGAAGTTCTTGGGAAGGGCTTGCTACAAGAGCGGATCCGCTGGGAGTTTTTTTTATGAAATCTTGGCTGGTTCTGGCTATTGGGGGGTATACCCGGCACACACAAACAAACCTTGAAACCTAAATCGTTAAGATTCAGTTCGAAAGCTTCTATGCCAAAAGCAAGACGAAACCTCGGGAGCTTTGGTGTGAAAGACTTCGAGTTTGTGGGTGCTTTCGGGTTTGGCGATATTTAAGTCTTGAGCCAAAATCGTCTACGGCATATCATGTCGAAGCACGATTTAGGCATTTGCATCCGTCTGTCGAGCACAGTTATAACATGTTCAACTTGAAACCTGTCAAGCAAGAACACCCCTGTCCCTGCACTACCAAGATCCTAAACGCTAAACCCAGTGCGGAAAAGTGAAACACGTAGTTTCCCACAGCATCCTCCTCCCCCCAAACCCTACACCCTAACTAAACCCTGAACCCTAGACCCTGCACCCTAAGCCCTAACCTGAACCCTACTTAGAGGATCATGGGACTTAGTAAGTAGGTTATAATTGGGGTTAGAAGTCCCCTAACGGGGGTTATCCTAATTATAACCTACTTATAACCTTACTTACTAAGTCCCATGAGCCTTCAAGTAAGCGTACGGCACGGTCTAGGGTTTAGGGGTAGGGCTTCAGAGGCTTTGAAGGGGTCCTGTAGGGTGTCATGGGCCTTAGGTTAGGGATTTGTGGTATGCAACTATACAGGAACTGCAAGTGGACAAGCTTACTTTGCGCTATGACCCGTCACGAAGAGTCATAGACGCCCATCAGCTCTTAGTCCCAAGATCCGCAGTTTCGAAAACCTGCAGTCCAAAACTGAAGCCTGATTTGCAGGGTCTACATACCCAGTAACCTAAGAACAAAAAGGCCTCTCTTTTTGGTATTGGGTAACTTTATAAGGAACCTAGGACTACGAAAAAGGAATAAGGGTACTACTGGGCATCCTAGACAAGCTGTATGTAATGCATGGCAAATCTTAAATGTTGCAAGACAGAAGGTCATGGCAGTTGAAAGTAGGCCCACTAGCCCTTCAGACACGGTTTTCTCTGGTGTCTGCGGGTCGCGAAGCGTGCGCACTTGGAGTCAATCTTGCTTCTGCTGAACCTGATGCACCACTCTCAGAGCTTCAGGGTAACCGAAAGCCAAACAAACCCGAAACCCTAAACCCTAAACCGTTGGGAGAAGAGCCGATCCCTCTCTCGATCAGGTTCCGGATTATGACCCTTGGCCTCGAAACACTCAGTGTGGCTAATATAGGAACCTGATTAAGACCAATGTAGGGTTTAGGGTTCCTTGAAAGGGGTTTATAATAAGGGTTACTATCAGAGATTTATACGGGTACTATATTCATGTAGGAACTTGATTAAGTAACCTTGGACCTTTATTAGGGCTCCTCATATGAATCCTACTATTTTTGGGTTATAATCTAGGCCCAGGGTTTTTAAATCAGGTTCCTACATTAAGGCTTTAAGGTCTATAGGTTGGATGGGTCGGAAAAAAGGGGCCTCTTCTGCAGAACTGAGTATCGAGTGTTGTATGTAGGCTAGATCCTATGCTGTGCACCAACACACCAACCCCCAAACCCCAAGCCCTGACATCTACGTGTGTGACCCTTGGCATGGATCCTACTGTGTTTTTTGGGGTCCGGGTCAAATCCAGAATCAGAAAGAGCTCAGGATAATTACATTGTCAGAGACTGGTCCTTAAACTTGTTCTTTCCCCCCTTATGCCTTTTCGAAACTTTGGAATTTGGAACCCCTACCGTTAATCACGAACAGCCAGTAACAGTAACGCACCTCTGTATATCTGATGATAGACCCCGCCAAATACTCACCTACGGTACGATAATGCCGAAATCCATGCAAGTACCTTGCAGATCCCGTAACCCGCATTGAGAGCCAAAACCCTAATGCGGCACAGCCTTCGAAATGTGCAAAGGACTAAACTCTCTGCAAACTCACCACACCCTAATCCCCTAAACTCTTAACCTTCTTTGGACATAGCATCAGCCGACATAACACCCTTTCAACCGTTTGAACTGAAGTTCCAGGTGAGGGCTTAGGCTTCCACATTCGAAGGCTTTGGGGGCTTTACATAGGGGTTTGGGTGTGTGCTTTAGGGGTTATGTGAGACTTTGGGACTTGAGGGTGTTGGGACCTGCATAACAATACATATATACATATATACATATATACATATATACATATATATATATATATGTAGATAGATATTATGTATAAATCACCTGTCGACACAGTAAAAATCCTTCAAGCCCACAACTTTCACCGCTACGTCCCTAAGTTTCACCTTTCATGATTCGAGCACCACAGCTGCATACATATAGACCCTTAAAACTTCACCCTAAACCCAAAACTCTAAACCTCTACACCCTAAACACTAAACCCGAAACCCGAAACCCTAAACCCGAAGCCCTGAACCCAAAACCCTGCAGAGCTGCCCAGAAAAACGTGCCAAGGCGCCGAAATGCCCCTGTCTAAGCAGCCAACACCCTAAAGGCCGAGGCCTAGTCCCTTAAGGAACATGCTTCTAAGCTACTTGGGGGGCAGGGGACTTGGTAAGTAGGTTCTAAGTAGAGTTATAAGTACCCTAAATGGAGTTACCCCGATTATAACCCTACTTATAACCCACTTACTAAGTCCCCTGCCCCTCCAAGTATAGTAGGATCCCTAATATGATTTAAAGTACACTCCTTAACTAAGGGATTTTGGAAGGTCTGGGTACTTTTAGTATATGGGAGTTTCCGAAAATATACGCCCCTAAGATAGCACCCTAAATAACAGGATCCTTAATATAGGGAGCCAAAAATAAGGTGCCCCGAATGTTCAGAAACTCCCAAATCTCCAAGGCCTACACCCCGGCACCCGAAAAGGTAGGATGTAGGCGTTCGTGCCGTTTTTGGGTCGCCAGGGGTCTCACTTAAGCTTTAAGGCCTCGGTTTTTTTAGGTTTTCGAGTTGAGGGTTGAGTGTTTAGAGGTTAGGACCTGGGTATAGGGGTTTGGCATTTAAGGTTCTGTCCTGGAGACCTCCAATGCAACCCGGACCCAAAATTCACAAAAGCCATGATAGCAGATAGCACCCTTACAAGCCCCTGCCAAACTCCACCAGCAAATCCCTGCCTGGTACTCACGAGTGGCCAAAATCAACTGTCACACCATATTGTAACATACCTACAGTCTCCATTGTAGTCACTATTCAGAGTTACCTTTTTAGGGTCCTTAGCATAAACATGTGGTTAAACCCCAAAACGAACTCGAATGGAGACTACTTGGAGGGGCAGGGGACTTAGTAAGTACGTTATAAGAAGAGTTATAAGTACCCTAAATGGAGTTACCCCAATTATTGCCCTACCTATAACCTACTTACTAAGTCCCCTGCCCTTCCAAGTATAGGTAGCGTTTGCAGGGACCCTAAACCCAAAATCTAGGGTTGATGATATACATCCTGCATGACCCATAAAATAAGGAATATACCATAATTCCCATATATGCCTTATTGTGGGTAATGCAGGATTTACATCATCAACCGTAGGGGTGAGGCTGTGAGACCCTAAACCCTAAACCCTAAGCCCTAAACCCTAATCCCCAAACCCTAAACCGTGGTCCCTGACTGAGGCTCTGGCTCTCACTGCTTACTGACCTCCTCAAAATTCTCGCCGATGTCTGGGATGTCCTTCAGAGCACAATGGTCGTATCTGGAGATATTATAAGTTAGGGCTGGGGTCCGGTCTAGGGTCTTTGTGGTTTAATGAAAGACCCCCAGAATGAAGGACCCGGATTTGGACAACATAGGATCTGATTCAACGTCCATGGCCGAAGACAGGCCCAACTTCCCTTAACCCTGCTGGTTCAGCGGTCACTCGGCCGGAAATGCTGGTATTTTTC